TCCCCAAGCCCACGGGCGGCTACAGGCCGATTGGGGTGTTCTGTTCCTGGTGCAGGGTCTGGGGTCGGTGTCGCCGACCTCATGCCCTGGCCTGGGAACAGCAGCACCCCCGTCGGTACTGGGCCGCTGGAGAGCACAGGGGAGCTGCGGATGTGGCGTGGCGTCAATCGGCTAGGGCTGAGAGCTGCACTGCGAGCAAGGAATGTTCTTGCTCGGTCTTCTATGATATGCTCAAGTATTATGAGACTATCGATTTGAGAGTGTTGGGGGCCAAGTGTATGAAACACCAGCTCCCGCTTGCCATCGCGCGAGTATGCATCTTCGCGTTTCGCACTGGTCGTTTTCTTTCGTTAGGTGGGCTGCTCAATGGTCCCTACCACGTGGAGTTCGGGGTGGTGGCGGGGTGCAGCTTCGCCACCACCTTCATTCGCGTGTTTGGCATGGACGCCTTCGACTCGATTCCTGTATCGCCTTCGTCGGAGCTCGACATTTACATCGACGACAGTGGGGTCTCGGCCTATGGGTCTAAGTCGTCGGTTGTCCGCAGCATCGTTAGGGCGTCCGTGGCGCTTCATGATGTTATCACTCGTATGCTTGGCTGCAGTCTTGCTCTTGATAAGGTGTGCACGGTCGCTTCTGATGTGGAGGTGGGAACGGCTGTGTCTCAACGTCTTGGGTCCCTGGGGGGCCGTGTGGTTGGGTCGACTCCTAATTTGGGGATCGATTTCTCCGCGGGCAAGTCTATTCGTGGCAAGCAGGGACGAGGGAGCAAAATCAAGGCGCGTGCGGCCGCGATGCTGAGGAAGTCTAAGAGGCTCAAAAAGCTCTCGGGCACCCTTGGCAGGAGGAGTCTCACAATCTTCGCCGCTGGTCCCTTGGCTTCTGGCGCGCGCGGGTGTGAAGTTGCGGGGATCAGCGACAACGATCTTTTATGCATGCGGAGGGCTGCTTTCTCTCAAGTGAGGCCTTTCGCTTCTGGTCGCAGCCCCACGGCCTGCTGCATACTGGCCTCCGACCCCACCTGGGGAGCGGCGACGGCGCCCATTTTGAGATGGGGTAAGGAGGTGTGGTTGTCGCAGACCAATCTTTTCCCGGGGGCGCTCTCGCTGCGGGAGCTCCGCGAGGCGTGGGCGGCTGTTTGGGCCAGGCCGAAGGTCACGTGGGGCACTGTGGCGGGTCCTCTCAGTGCCATGCGCTTGACGTTGCTCAGGCTGGGTTGGCACATGACGAATGCGATGACCATCATAGATGACAAGGGTAGACCCATAGAGCTAGGTGTTACTTCCCCTGCTCTGTTGGCCATCCACTGCCGCGAGGCCCTGCTCCGTTCCCTGGAGAGAGATCTTGTGGAGAAATGGGCGGATGGGGGTCGCCTCTGTCTTGGCGTCCCCAGGGCCGCCCTTGCGTCGGGCAAATTTTCTGCTAGAGACAAAGGCCTATTCAGAGCTCTCGCGTGCAATGCGATCTGGACCCCTGATCGTGCGATACGGTGCGGATATGAGATCAGTGAGTGGTGTGTTTTTTTGTGGGGAACGTGACAGCCTCCACCACAGGCTGTGGGTCTCTCCTCACTGTGCGGATGTGCGAGCTGAGGTAGCAGACGCCGATGTCATCGCCTCAGCTTTGAACACTGAGGCTGCGGACTACTCGGACAACTTATTCTGTCACGCGGCTTTCGCCCACCCCGCCGATGTCCTCCCGGGGCCCTGTGCTGAAGGTCAGGTTCAGTCCAAGTGGTTTAGGGACATGCTGGACGGGCCTGAGGGGTCTGAGGAGGCTGGTGAGGGAGCTATTTGGGGCCACATATTCTTGGACGGTTCGTGTCACAGGCACGTCATTCGAGAGCTCACTAGGGCGTCTTGGGCGATCACTGTGCATGACAGTGCTGGTTAGTTGCTCGGTGCTGTGAGTGGTCCTGTGTGGGATCGTTACCCGCAGACCCCACGAGCGGGCGAGTGGCTCGCCCGAGGGATGGCAGGCACGCTCGTAAGACATGAGTCCACAGTGTACATTGACTGCCTCAACGTTGTCAAGTTGTCGAATCTCCCGCTCGAGGCCAGGCGTTCTGGTAAGCATGTGTACAGCGGGATCCTTCTTGAGGCGAATGCTCGGGGGGGTCGTCTCATAGGAGAAATCATCAAAGTTGAGGCCCATAAGGACCTGGACGAGGCTGGTCTTTGTCCCCAGGTATCCTTTCGGCGTAGGTGTAATAATGACGCTGACGCTGCCGCCAAGCACGCTCTGTCTTTTCATCCTGTCGACGCTGACCTCATGGTGAGTGTTGAATGGCAAATCAAAGTTGCCAAAACGGCGTGCAAACTGGCTGCCCGCGCGCTGCTTGAGTGGCCCCGTTTGGACCTCTCGGGAGCCCCAAAGAGGGATTTGAGCGTGAGCAAGGCCCCTTTTTTGGCTGTTGTTAAGCCTCACGTTTGGACTGTCTGGTCTGGGATCTGGCGTTGTAGAGTCTGCTTGCTAGGATGTAGAGGTGCGGCCCCCGCGGGGAGCGAATGTCCTGGCGCGAGCAAGCTCGATGAAGGCGTGCTTGTGTCCTATGGTCACCGCGTCCTGGCGCTGCCCTGCTCAGACGGATCACGCCTGTTCATTTGCGTGCGCTGAAGCTGTACAGCACAGGTGGTAGAGTAATGGGCCTTGGCAAAGTTTGCCCAGGCAAAGCTTCACGAGACGGAAGTTATGCCTGGAAAGCGTCGTGTGCTAAGGGTCGTCACCCCAACAGGCTCAGAAATGCTATTGTCGTCGGCGCGCACGCTGTGGTCGGCCTTTTTGCTCGGACTTGCCTCCCAGTCCCGGCGCGGCGGCGGAGGAGGAGTTGACTCCCCAGTCTTCAGTCCGAGCCGAGGGAGTGCAGGCACGCTTCAGAGCTCCCCCACAGGGCGAGTCGAGTGGTTGTGATTCCTCGGTCGAGGCGCCTTTGCAGTCTGCTCAGACGATGCCCGAGAGGTTCGAGCTCGAAGCCGAGGCAGAGGCCGCGGCATTTCTGTTCGGATCTCCTGCTGGCCCCACTCTGCCACCCCGAGTCGAGTCGTCGATCAGGTCGTCGTCGTCATCGTCGGGAGCAGTGGCGGATGGTGGGAAGGCGCCCTCTTTTCGGCCCCCCCTGGACCCTCCCGAACGGGACTCTGAGGTCCAGGGTCCAGCGCAGATGCTCGGGTCTATGAGGCTTGCCCACCCGAGGGTCTCACGTGCAGGGGATGCCCTGCCTGCAGTTGCCGCTGTCCCCTGTCGACAGGAGGAAGGGCAACTCGCTTCGCGGTCGGAGGTCCTTGATAGTGACTCCTCCGACTGAGGGCCAGGGCCTTTGGGCGCTGATCTTCGTCGAGCTCGGCTCGTCCATTCAGTCGTCTTGGTTTTCAAGGCGAGCCTGCACTGTGCCCTGCCCGCAGTGCTTGTAGAGCGAGGTAGTGTGGCGTTGAGGCAAAAAAAAAAGTCGTCGGCGTCCCCGTCGTCGTAGTCGTCGCCGTCGTCGTCGTCGTCGTCGGCGTCGTCGTCTCTGGGACCATACCATGGAGGGGGGGGGGCCCGAGGAATCCTGGGACCATACCATCTGGGGGGGGGGGGGGCGTGGGCCCGGAGCCCGGGACCATGTATGTATGTATGTATGTATGTATGTATGTATGTATGTATGTGTGTATGCAGTGTATGTATTGCATGTAGTGTATGTAATGCATGTAATGTATATAATGTATGGATGTGTGTACGTGTGTATGTATGCATGCATGTATGTATGTACGTACGTATGAATGTATGTATGTTTGTATATATATATATATGTATGTATGTATGTATGTATGTATGCATGTGTGTGAATGTATGTCTGTACGCATGCACGTTTAATATCTACGCATATACACATGCATATATATACATATATATACACATATATGTATATAGATACACGTCTACGTACAATGTACGTACACATGTATTTCTGCATATACACATACATTTGTGTGTATATTCATGTATATATGTATATGTATGTATGGCTTCCGTTCTACGTACGTTTCATTGATCTAGGGGGTGCTGACCCCCTTCCCGCCCGAAACGGGACCCCCCGGCGCCCGGGGCTCCCGGTCGCCTCGGAGGTCCCCGCGAGATGTCTTGGGTTCTGCAAGTCCCTGCCGACACGCGCAGACGGATCGGCGGCAGTCCCACGAATTCCCCCCCGAGACGACCCAAGATGGTCTCCGCTGGACCCCGAGCCCCGCCGGACGCCCGAATACCGCTTACATTTTACCCCCGAAATGTTTCCGAAACGCGGAAAGGTTGGCTTCTCGTGGCGGGCCAACACCATGAAGCGCTACTTTGGGAACGCACGCGACAAATGTCACATGTGCTGCCTCTCCTCCTCCTCCTCTTCCTCCTCCTCTTTTTCCTTTTCCCCCTCCTTGTCCTCCTCATATTCCTGCTCCTATTCCTGCTCCTCCTCCTCCTCCTGCTCCTCCTCCTCCCCCTCCACCTTCCCCTCCTCCTCCTCTTCTCCTCCTCCTCTTTTTTCTGTTCCTCCTCCCTGTCCTCCTTCTCATATCGTCCTTCTCCTCATCCTCCCCCTCCTCCACATTCTCATCATTATCACCATCTTCGTTTTCCTCCTCATCGTTGCCACCAGTAGCATCAGATTAACATGATCCTTCGTCCACCACGACCCCCAAGGAGGCTCCAAGACGGTCCACGAGGCTCTAAAACGCCTCATGAGTTTTCCAAGACGCCCAAGATGGCCCAAAAACGGCCCAACAAGCCTTCGAACAGCCTCCAGAGTCCCAGGGAACCCCAAAAACCTTCCCAAGATGGCCAAAATCAATGATGACCCGTGAGTGTTTCACAATTTTGGGGTTTCTCCGATCTTCTAGCTTCCGACAGAGGAGGGGGGAGCATGAGTGAGGAGGGGGGGAGGACGAGGGAGGCGGGGTCGAGCAGGATGAGGCCACAGGAGGAAGGCGAGAGGGAGGAAGAGGGCGGGCAACGACCCCCGCGATGGCCAGGACGACAGCCCGCCCATCCTCACGGTACTGCCGGAGCGGTGGGGCACCGTCAACAGAGCGCAGGCGCCTCTTCGACCGCGGCCCTGGCGCCGCGCGCGCCCGAGGGCCAACGCATCGCTGCGGCTTGATTGCGCGGAGGAGGTTCCTGGTTTGTCAGGAGGGGAAAAAGCACACAGACACAATTAATCCTCGATTCCTTAGAAAATATAGAAAAATATGGGAAGTGGGGGGGAAGGCAGAAACCTAGAAAATACAAGAAAATATTGGAAATAGTTTTGTTAGTGTGTATTTATTTGTGTGTCCTGGGGCCCCTTCATGATTGCGCGGAGGAGTGTTCCTGGTTTGTGACCCCTCGTTCAGGCCAGCGACGGTTGATCGCGCTCCCTCGCACCTCCGAAGGAGGAGATCGTCCTGTCGGCTTCGTGGCAGGAGCCTCGTTGCTGCGGCGCCGCGGCGTCCATGCCTTTCAGTCGGGGGAGCGTAAGACTCGAGCAAGCCGGACCTCGGGTTTGCCGACGTTTTCTGACAAGCGCGTCCTGGTTGTTGACGGTCCAGTTTCCGTGGGATGTCTGCAGCGGGAGGTCGCGTCAAATTTCAGACCCGGTCTCGTTATTTTTATGATGGCCCCATCAGGCCAACCCGAGTCCCCCGTACCCGAGTCGTACGTCGTCCTGCGGGGGGTGGGCGGCGGACGCGGGAGCCATTTTCTGGTGTTCGAGCGCTCCGGGCGGGGGACAGCATCCGGCGTCTGTTCGTGGGAGCTTTGGGCGGCGACACTGAAATCAACATTTGGACCGCACTCGGACCGCATTTGGCCGTTCCTCTTTCTCCTCCTCGCCCTTCCTCCTCCTCCCCCTCCTCGTTCTTCTCGCGTCCACTGTGAAGGGGCGAGTCCTGTCCAAGTCTGGCCCAAATTCGGTCCCAGATGGGTTCCTACTCCTGTCAAATCGGACAGCGCACGGGGCCGTGTGGGCTCCCGTGGAACAGACACCACTGACAGCACTGCTAGATCAGAGTGAGGGGGCCGAACGCTCATTCATTGTCAATGGGTGCTTGGCTAAAGTGAGAATCCGTGGTGAGGATTATGCTTATCGCGTTGTTGTTGTTGTTGTTGTTGTTCCAAAACCTTAGTTTTCGTAGCGATATTAACATAAAAACATCAAAAAACCAATGGTTTCTCAAAAACAAATTGTCAAAATTTCATCCCGCGCGCTCTTGCGGATTCGTAGGAAACGCAACACTTTTTAATAATTTCTGTCAAACGGGCTTTTGCGAGCAACTTTTTCGAACTTCTGCAACAACGGTTGCGCACCTGCCAGGGCCACCATCCCTGTCAAATAATACCGTGCGGGACACATTCGTTTTTTCTTCGCGCGCGCACGCCGTCGTCGTCGGCCGCGGGGCCCTGAATAGTAGCCACGGTCGTCCGCATGCCACGAAATGAAGTGTCCGAACGTCATAGGGCGGGAAGCTGGGTGTGGGTGGTGGCGAAGAGTCGTTTGGAAATTTGGTAGAGCTTGAACCGGCCCCCCCACAAAGTGGGGGTATTGCCCGCCTCCTATGAAAACCCTGGCACTGGTGAGAACGGTGTGTCCCCACGTGCTAGTAATTGTTGTTGTTGTTGTTGTTGTTGTTGTTGTTGTTGTTGTCGTCGTTGTTGTTGTTGTTGTTGTTGTTGTTGTTGTTGTTGTTGTTGTTGTTGTAATTGTGGTTTGTTGTCATCGCCCCCCCGCGAACCACCCGCGACCCACCCCGCGACCCACCCCGCGACCCACCCCGCGACCCACCCGCGACCCACCCGCGACCCACCCCGCGACACACCCCGCGACACACCCGCGACCCACCCCGCGACCCACCCGCGACCCACCCGCGACCGATCCACATTGGTTTGCAGAACGAATCGGCGCTTGCGGCGGGCTCGTTGTGCAAGTTGTGAAACTTTGGCGCCTGCGGCTGGCTTCTCCAGAGTCTCGCAGACTGCCGACGTCCCCACCGCCCCCTAGCTCTTATCCGCATCTGAGGGGTGCTACGTATTTGTTGTTGGACCTTTTTGGGGACCACCTGACGGGTCTGTTAAACTGTAGTTCGAACTTGTTCCAGTTCGAGCTCGACCCACGTTCGGTTCAAGGTCGGCGCGAGTCCACGGACATTCGACGCAGCATCGATTCGTGAGTGGAGCGAGTGGTTCCAGGAATGCCTCCAGAACGAGCACCTCAGCATGGACAGCATCATCGGCATCCTTGCCAGCATCATTCGCTGCAGCGCGTCTGTCTCGAGATCCTTGGCCTCCGATCTGGCTCAAGCGGGGCTGGTGAGGATTCTGCATTCTACACGATGTTGCGTTGGAGTGTCATTGTGTTTTCGGCTTGCACGTATCACGCAGCTTGCGGTATATCTGGTGTTGACCCTTTGCAATTGCTTGCTAATTTCCAAAGCCTTGAAGAGCTTATAATTGATGCAAGGTCCAGGCCAGAATTGCCCTCGTCTGGGACAGCGCAGATTACAACACAAGATGGTACATTCATTGTAGACCGCATGACAGCTTCTAACGGTGCAAGATGGTTGCGTGCCCGTGGGATCCAGTATGCGGAGCATCCAGTTGGTGATTTGCGGTGGCAGCCCCCAATTCGCAGAACAAACAACATGACACATCCAGCGCCAGCATTACAATGGGGTGATGATTGTGCTCAGGGACCGTTTCTATCGAGGATTGAGGGCATTCAATTACATCCGATGAGTGAAAGCTGCCTATACTTGAACGTATGGGCTCCTGACGAAGGGTCAAGAATTCACGAGGACAAGTTGCCAGTACTCGTTTGGTTCCATGGTGGGAGTTTTACGCTGGGTGGCACCACCAGCTATTCTGCCGATCATATTTTTTCGTATCGTCAGAATGCCGTGCTTGTAACAGCAAACTACAGGCTGGGTGCACTTGGCTTCCTCGGCGGGAAGGCGATCGCGGAGAGCACTTTCGATAGGAGCAGTGGCAATTTCGGATTGCAGGACACACGTCTTGTATTAGAATGGGTCCAGCGAAACATAGGGAGTTTTGGTGGAGATCCTCATCGCGTCACCATCTTTGGAGAGAGTGCGGGTGCCTCCTTGGTGGAAACTCATTTGTCAGCTGCTCGTTCAAATGGTTTGTTCCGAAATGCGATTATGCAGTCTGGTGCATTCGACAATTACACCATCCAGCCTGATCCAGAGGGAACATTTGCTGCTTTTGCGTCAGCGGCTGGTTGCAGTCCATCTCGTGCTGATGTAGTGCAATGTCTGCGCAACGTGCCACTGTGGCCAACGGCGCTCTCTGCAGGACAGGGCCTGATGCCAGCAATTGCACTGACGAGTCAAACCAGGGGGTTTGGGCCGACTATTGACTTCGTCGAGCTCATGGAGAGTCCCGAGCAGAGCGCCAGGGCTGGGCGTCTGAATCATCTGTCGGCAGCAATCATTGGGACCACTCTTGATGAGGGCCGGCTTCTGATGCCTATTATGATGCCAGTCGCAAACGGCCCGCGTGCAACAGCTGCAGATTTGTACCAGTGGTTGCAGACGTACTACCCCGGCGCGGCCGACAATATTTCCAAGCAATACAGGATATCGGGCTATGCCGATAAACGTTTGGAGAGCTTTTCTCCATGGGAGACCGCTGCAGTAATTTACACAGACTCCCAGTACCTGTGCCCGACCCAGAGGAGCGCTCGGTGGTTGCATGGGATTGGGGCCACAACGTTTGTATACCGGCTCGAGTACCAGCCATCTATCCGCTTGCCTGCGGCAGTCCCCGATGTTGTTCCATTGCAGCGTTGAGGCGCGTGTAAGATGCTTCTATCCAGCTCTCCCGAACAGGCTCGGTGGAACCATCTTGAGCCGAATAACCCAACACACAGTACACAGAAGCTGTCGGAGGTGTATGAGGATCTTGGCGGCACCTCTGGCGCCGTTTCCGGCGCGCTTCGCGCGCTAGGAGAGGGGGGTCCAGCGCTGAACTAAGAAGTCCGCGCGTACCTCCGAGAGTTTCTGTTTGTGCAGCTATTTGGTTATTGTATTGAGGCAGGTTGGGCCGAGCGCTACGATGGTGCAGCGTGGCGTAGCCGTAGTTAACCTTGCATGGTTACTGGGTTGCCTCTTGGGGGCTTCCTGCGGGTTTCTTGGGGCGTCTGGGGATCATTTGGTGCCCTCTGGGGGCCTCTCGAGGGCCTGTTGGGCGTCCTGGGGCTGTTTTGGGCGCAGAAGTTCTACCGAGCTCTCTTGAAGAAGCTTTCTAGACACATCTTGGAGCTGCGTGCGCAAATTAGGATGTCCTCGAGGTGTCTGGGATTTCGGACGCCTTCTGGCGTGGGGAGTCTTGGGTCGTCTCGAGCCACATCAGAAGCAGTCCTGAACGCATCTTTCTCTGAAGCGCTTGGAAACCACAAGGTGTGATAACATGTATTGTCGCAGGCCTAGAGGTTGACACCAACACCAATATCGGCGATGTACCTCCACCGAGGGAAGAAGATCCCGATTTTGGTGATGGTGGTAATTATTACCACCAACACCAAAATCGGGACGAACTATTACCACCAACACCGAAATCTAAGATCACCTTCCCCCTGTGGAGGCAAACCCCCTGTGTTGGTGTTGGTGCCCATTTCCAGGCCTCCAATATTGTTGGATTCCCTCCTCTGGGGCCTTGCAGCATGGATCCTGGAGGCAGTCGCGGGATTCGGTGGCGCGCCTGTGGGGGGGGGGAGTGCGAGGGGGCGCGCCTTCTCAGGGAAGGCTCGGAAGTTCCCCAGCCTTTGAGAAGCGTTCGAAGCCTGCCCCGAGGACACAGCTTTTCAGAAGGTGGGAGGGCTCCTGAGCCCAGCCCCAGCCCCGCCGCCTTCTGAGGGGGCCTGCTTCTTCGCACTTCCACCCCTCTCTCGCCGCCGAGGGACTTCTTCTGGCCTCTTGGGGACATCTTTGAGCTTCTGCGGGGTCTTTGAACCGCCCTCGGCCGGCCGCGGGATATCCTGCGGTTGTCTCTGGTCGGGTCTGACTCTTCCTGGCGTCGGCTTGGGGCTGTGAAGAGCGCCGTT